CAATTCAATTTCATCATTTATTAAGGTTTTTTTTAATGTTTTTGCTTTTAGATTGTCGAAAAGTAAAAGAGAAATAAAGCTTCATTATTATAATGAATTAACCATTCAACAATAACATATAATTATCTTCACTTTTTCCTTTTTTTTGTGCATTCAATTTAATCTTAAGTAAGTGAATATAATTTCAATAGAAATTTTGTCATTATAAATTAAGTAATTGCTCATTAGGGTATAAAAAAAAAAAAAGAAATTAAAAATTCTTTTTTTCCTACATTAACTTCATAGAAAACATAAGAAAGTTACTTAGTAATCATTATTGATTATACATAGTATTATTATAAAATAACTAATCGGAAGTTTTTAAAGAAAGTAAAAAAAAAAAACTTTAATAAACTTTAACCACGAATCACAATAGAATGATATTTAAAACGAAGGTTCTTAGCGCCATCTCTATCCTTCATTTTTCCCTATTGATTTAAGTAAGTCAGTAATTGTATATGTCATGAAATAATTCACTAAGATTGGAATACAATAGATAGAAATATCTATCATGCATTCATGATTATCATGACATGTCCTTAAGACAGTACTAAAGATTAGACTCTCTGTAATCAGTAGTTTTAATGTTACAAGTGTTGTAACTATGCTTAGCTAGTAGATTTGAATGGAACTCTCTTTTAGTATAGATTTTATGGTTAGATACTTATTCTTTACTGATACATAAAATGACTATAATTTATTTTAGTGTGTGAATTATAGATGAATGAATCTAGTAATAAATCCCTAATAGATGAGTATTAATGCATGTATAATTTCTTTTTTTCATATGCGTCTAACAATTAATAATGTATGCTACTCAGTATTTCCACCCATACTCATCAATTTTACTGATGGAATCCTGTGAAAAATATTTCTAGTTTTCTTTTTATTATTTGCCAGTAAGTGCTATTTATTTACTCTTCACTTCAGTAGTTCTATTGTATAAAAAGTGGACTTAGAATCATTATTTTTGCAATAAAAATTCTTTTCCCAATACTGATCTAGTGAGTTTCTGAAATGAATAAAATTAATTAATCCGATAGGTCCACTTCATCAGTATTGAATATTCCAAATAAAATGATGAATGACAAGTAAAACCTGACGTTTTTAGATGAAAAAACAAAATTACGTGTTCATTTCTTTTTACATTCACTGCTGAGTTGCGGCATTCTATTTTATTGCACAGGCTTATAGTCATCCGAATTGACTTTGTACGAATCCTTAGAGTACAACGACGCTTGCAGTAAAAGATAAACAAAAAAAAAATCATTGTGTGCGCGTTTGTCAGAATAAAAAAAAAAAAAAAAAAGGAAATTTTGTTACAATTTACTTTTTTTTTCAGAACGTATGATGAATGAATAATCGGCATAATTATATATTGGAAATTTTCTACGATCATGTTATTCAGTGCTGAACAATCTTATCAGGTTACGATTATGTTATTAATCTTTTAATATGATTAATCAGGAATAAAATCAATAGTTAAAAATAGGTGTTTTTCTTAAGTTCAATTAAGGAAATTATTTTAGATCAATTTACTATTTGCAATATAAGTATATATATATATATGTTGTATTTTCTTTTCTATCTTATCAATGTTAAAGTTACCCTTTGGATAAAACTGTCTTAATAGTATGTGATTACTTAAGTAAACAATAAAGGTTAAACTGACTTTTATATGGAAAATTCTTTTTTTGGTAATATAACATGGATTATTTTTTTTAATCAAACTGGCAAAAGATGATAAAAGTAAATCTATGTTTATTATTTCTATTTGCTTAAATAGAAGAAAAAAAATTACCGTCCAACCGATGTAAATTATTCATAATACCATAGAAAAGAACGATCTTACCCGCTCTAAGCAATTCATTCCTTGTGAGAATATATTTTGAAATTATAGAGAAAATTTCTTGACTAGAATAACCACAATAGAATTCAGACTCATTCATACATTCTCTACGGACTTACGATAATTATAGTTTTAGCAACAATAACAAAAGAAAGAAAGAATTTGCAGTCTCAAAAGATCGTGCTTAAGTATATCTAATGATCTTTAAAGATTCAGAGAAGATGATTCCTACCTTCTTGAAATATTCACAAAATTAAAAGTCTCGTTTTCTTCTTCGTCGGTGATTTGCTTTAGAATGAAACAAACATTTTTGTAATGTTTTTGCTGTTATTTCATCCTATGGTAATACTCCAAGAAAACTAGCGTAAGTCTGTAGACAATACCTCGATGAGTTCGAATCGTTGGTTAATTATACTTCTAGCTTAGGAATTCTCTCTAATGGGAGCTCAAAGTATAAGATTAAAATCGATGTAACAAGTCGAATAATTATTTCGTGATCTTTCAAATTAAAAACTAATTTATATATTTTCTAACGGAAATGAACAAATAATTAGCTCCCATTTACTCTTTTCCATTTAGTTGAACAATTGATGTCAAAGCTAAAAACAAAAGGATTTTAATTCTGTTCTATCTGCACAAGTTCTTTTTTTATCATTATGCTTTGTTTTACTTGATAATAAGAAACAGCAAAAGAATACACAGTAAATAACAGAGAGTATGCAATATATAACAATTTTTTTTTTATCTATGAGATATTGCAACATACATTCTTTTGGTAAATAAGAATATGTGTATATGTGGTGACATCTTAACCAAAATACTACAATTAACTCGAATCTTGATTGCATAGAGATAGGAATCCCTTCTATAAGATATCATATAGTCAGATAAGTAAATGCCGGAAGGCGAGAACAAGTGCGTTTGTAATTAGTGGTTGATTTTTATGAAAGTTATTATTTTATTCTAGCTGCTTCTTATCATATACTATAGTATTCTTTTTTTGTTTTTCGTCATACGTCATTTCTTCGATGTCACGGTGGTAACAGTATAAAACGTTAATTTTATTCATTTAAAAATTATCGAGACTCTTGAATGTAACGGAGAAGAACAAATATATTTTTTTTTAATCAAAAGTAATTACATAAAGACTCACAGTCACAGAACGTATATAAATCTAGAAATTTGTTTGAATGTATAGTTAATAAAAGAATTTCCGTGTCATTCTTACATGAATAATATCAGTGATATATATTTGAGTATTATAATACATGGAGTATAAATATTAAACTGAGAGAAAACACGTATTCATTATATTTATCTAGTGAAATCATTGTAGGAGAAGAAAAAAAATTAAGAATGCTGGTGTACTTAGCCATAAAATCATAGATTCTGTGACTTTCTTCTTGTAGAAAATTATTTTAAACGAGACAAAAATATTTTATGAATGTTCTGAGTATTGTCTACACGTATTCACATTCTTTAATAGTCTATTCAAGTTATGTTTCTTTTCATAAGAAATAATTTTCTTTTTTGAGGATTATTTCCTGTACTGCAAAAACTCAAGTATTTGTTTTCCTTTAACTTCGGCAAATGTTTTGAACTAACTCAAAAAGAAGAGAAACTAAAATTGAATTGATATTTTATTTTAGATATCATAAAATTATTTTTTAATATTTGATCTTTACTTTATATATCAACATAAAATAATATATTTATTGAACTTATATGTTATGAATTCAAATAAAATATTGTTACTTAAATGACATGCGACATATGCTGTCATAACTAGCATTCGAACAGTATTTGTAGTGCTCTATTCAATTGCTTTATAATATAAGTAATAACGAAGTTTTAATGAAAGTAAGAAAATTTCGCACATACTATATATTTATTTTTGTAATGTCTAACAATAAGCAGAAATATTCTTAGACTGCTAAAATTGCGAGATGTCAGAGTTGATTAGAAGATTTCTACTAAAGTTGACTGAAGAAAAATAAAGAATTTTTACAATTACGATGTCAACTTTCCGGTTCGAACTCCTAGTAGAGAAAAATAAATTTTCTAATAATGTATAAGACGAATAAAACGTCAACAAAGTGTAAAAGTGTCAACTTGTCATAGTTCAGAAAACTGTTTTTTTTTTTTTTTCTCAAGAGTTTATGTAAGGATTGGTTCAAGATGCTTTTCTTCATAGATGATCGAACGATAAAGAAGAAAGAAAAAAAAGAATTTTTTTTTCTCTTTCCTCATCTTTTGTAATTCATTCTTGACATCCTGCGTAAGAGATATATAGATTTATTTTTTTTTCTTCTTTGTTTGGTTTCCATAAAAAAAATATTTTAATTTATTTTACAAATGAAAGAATAATAATAATAAATTTATGTGTGAACATTTTCTTCTTTCACAATTGATGAGTGTATAAGTGATTTTGTCATGTTTATGAGGTAAAAAAACCTAATATAATATATTAATTTTTGTAAGGTCATGTTCAAAATCATTTTATTATTTCAAATAATAATGATTAATGATTAAAATTTTAGATAACAATATCCATGTGATAAATAAAAAACGATTGGATCTGTGGCATATTGTAACTATATTTATTATACCTTTACTTAAAGAGCACTAATTATCATTCTCTACTGGATTTATACAGAAGTATTCAGAGTGGGACTGAACTTCTACTTTTGAAAAACTTTCATTTTTTTCTCTAGTATTTTATTTTTTTTTCTTCACTGATTTCAGAAAAATTAGCGAACCCTATCCTTCTCCAAAATCAAGTGATTACAACAAAAGCCCTCTTGACTCATCGATTCTGTGTCTCTCTCCTTCTCTCAATCATAGTGGTATGAAGATACTCGTGACTCTACGTACTAAGATATTTTTTTTTTTGTAATGCATTACATTAACTGTATAATAAACCCCAAATATTTTAGCGAAAGAGAAAAATAATCTTAAATAGAAAATTTGTATATAACACAATTGTTTTGACACATTCATTTTTCATTATTAGTGATACTCACCTTTTATTTTTATACGGATCATTGCTTACATTAAATTTGATAATATGAAAAAAAAGAAAGAAGAAGAACAGATATATTTGTAATTTTAGATGACGAAATATAGGCATATAGTTATCGTTCTTATTTTACATTTAATTTTATCATGGGTATATGCACAAAATAATGAAACATTTGAATTGGGTGCTATTGCCAAACCACATCCGAAAGGTATGTATAAAGTTGAGTTTCTTTATTAATTTTTGTTTTTTATTGAAAAAATAAAATCGAGTCTAATAATAGTTTTATATGAAATCTAACAAGTTGTTTGAATATTTTATTTGATTAGTATGTAAATTAAAAGTAATAAAGATGAATTCGAATTTTTGATTATGAAATAAAATGATTGAGAATGATATTGACTTCAAATTGAAAAATTAATATTTGATTCATGTATAGATTCAATAAGAAATTTTTGATATTTTAGTATAAATAGAATTAGTTTTATCAAATAAAAAAAAAAAAAAACAAGAACATGTTAGTCTTAAATTTTAATTTTTAACAAGCCTATTTTAATCATGTGTTGATTGATGTTAAAATAAATTGCATATAGTTAATGTAGAAATAACTAAATTTAAATTCATGTTTATCGAGACAGAAACTAGGATAGATTAAAGAAATTCGTCATAATTACTTATAGTTATTTTCAGTCATGTAGTTAATATTATCAAGTAATTTAAAATGAAAAAATTTGTATTAGAGATAAAAAGACATGAAAAACTGTCATATTCAGATTGCATCGTCATAGTCATTCGATAATTATTTATAATTCGATGTGACAGAACGAGTCCCATATTTAGATAAGCTATTCGTAATGTCTTGAAAAAGTTTGAAATCAGATTTCCTTGACATAAGCAAAAAAAAAAACCGATTATAATAATTTCATTTTTTCTACTAAGATTAAATCCACAGTAGAACGACAAATATAATTCGAAATGAATCAATGATGCATGTCTTTTCTTTTTTTGTTGTTGATCGTATTGCAAGAATCGTATAGTCTTTTTTTTTCTCTTTGCAAAGCGGCTTATATATAAAATGTTCCGATCTTTCATCATATCAGATTTTCATTCGAATAATATAATTTGTTGAAAAGAAATTTTTTTCTTATTAAATAAAGACGATACAATCATACACCGTACATCTCATTAGCCAATGATTGACTAAATATTATCAAGGTTATCATATAATTAATGATAATATGCTTAAATATATTTAGGGAATCAATCTTGAATCCTATAGAATTGATGATTTAAATTCATTGACATTCATCTCGTTAAATTATCAAAATATGCCGTTTTCTCAGTTTGATCTTTTTAAAATCTCACCAAGTGTCTCGTGTCCTCTATTTTAGAAATCTTGGCATAGAAACTATGAAAATCATTATTTGGGTTTAAGATAATTTCCTAAAAATTGTTGAAAAAAAAAACACATTGTTGATCACCTTTATCTTCCCTCCTTATCGGTTCTTTTTAGAATGAACATTTCACAATTATACATTACATGCTTTTTTTTAAATTGATCTAATTAATATCATTTATTTTATTATTAGAGAAGGAAAAAGTGAAAGCTCAGATTTTGAAGTTTTTTTTTTTTTATTTAAAGCGATCTAATGAGTTTTAGCAAAAAAAGAAATACGTCGATAAGAATGAGATTTTTTTCCTTGTCGTTTTTGTGTACTCAAAAAGTGAGTACACTCTAGAATCGGTCAGTATGTCCGGCCGTCCGGCCGTTTACACGATAACTTTCGAAAGGAGAGTCCGATCACGATGAAATTTTCTACACAGTTCAGTCTTAACAATGTCTCGGTCGAGTTCGAAGATGAGCAGGATCCGTCANTTAGGCTTTTCCTAGTCTATGCATCCCCTACTTCTGGGCAAAATTTCAGCTCAAAAGCTTTTTGACACCTCGGGTGGTTCCCTCGCAAGATTTTACCCTTGCCGAGTTCAAACTTTTCGACATTTTTCTTTTCGACATTTTTACTTTCGACATTTCTCAGTACATTCACTTGGCTGTAGAGCTTCAAGGTTGATGAAAATTGTGTATTGGAGACACAGCCGATCGAATCCGGGTTCGAAAAATTTTTAATCTGATAGTCTTTAGTTGAATGTTCGAGACTTAAGCTTTCATTCTAGAAACGAATCTAACATAGGAATTTCGTTATAAGAAAAAAAATAGAATATTAATTAAATAATATTTTTTATTAATTTTAGAACGTGAAATAAGTCCACAAGCTCGAGTAACAATATATCTATTAGTAACTGGTTCAGTTTTTCTTTTATTAAGTATTATGTTTGGTGCACCATATTATTATTATAAATATGGTCGAAGTGATACAAAAGCTTCGATTTCAAAAAATCCAAATTATGGTTTGTTTTTATTTTTATTCTATTAATTTAATTTATTTATGAAATATTTAGAATTATATACACCGGATCAATGGGAAATTGATAAAGATTCTGTAACATTAAATAAACTTATTGGTCAAGGACATTTTGGTCAAGTTTATCAAGGTGTTATTAAATTATCCGATGGAACATTAAAACAATGTGCTGTTAAAGTATAAAGAATTTATTTTAAATAATAAAACGAAAATTTTGATTTTTCTAAGATTCGAACAACACATCCAACAGATTTATTACAAGAAGCATCAATAATGAAGTTCGTTTCGGGCTATTTTTTTTGTCTAAAAAAAAAATAAAATTCAAATTAAACTAATTTTATTTTAGACAATTTCAATGCTATCATGTCATTCAATTATATGGTATATGTTCACGTATTCGACCACCATATGTTGTTATGGAATTAATGGATAATGGTGATTTAAAAAATTATCTTTATCGACATCGACAAAGTGAATTAAATGTATGTATTATTTATTAAATAATCAAATTATTTAGTTTTTTGTTGTTGTTGTGTCTTTAGCCAAATGGTCCAACATTAACTGAATCAGGAATGATTCAATTAGCATTAGATGTTGCTGATGGAATGTATTATTTATCTGATCAAAAATTTGTTCATAGAGATTTAGCTGCAAGAAATTGTCTTGTCAATGGAAATCATACTTGTAAAGTTGGAGGTAATATAAATAAGTAATTTAAGAAAACAAAAAAAATTCATTTTTTATTTTATATTAAATAAGTTTTTCATAATTATTATTTTATTCAATAGAAAAGTTTTAATAATAAGAATAGAATTGCTTAATAGATTTTCATAGGTAGATGTCATTAGATATCAATGTATAATATTGATACTAATATTAGTTGTTATGGAAATAGTTAAACACTACATAGACATGAATTTCATAGTCACATTGAAAATAAATTGATATCCTGATCGAAGAAGATGAGCATATTAGATGATAAAATAAAGCAATATTACGACATCTTTACGGTAAAGTATGGCCGTTTACAATAATCAGCAAAGGTAAACCTGAGTTTCTGTATGTTTCTTGAATTTCTACTATCTGTCTCTATGTTTATGTTGCAATGCGACTGATCATAGAATATGTAAATTTGATTATATTTGTTTGTTTTTTTATTCCAACAAAAAACAAATATGAATAATAGTTTAATCTAACGAAAGAGGTGAAATCAATTTGTATTAATTGAACCAAATCTATATTAGTTATATGTCTAATGTATATTATATGATAAAAGTAGTTATGAAATTAATATCCATGAATGTAAAATGAAATATATTTTTTTTTATTAGTAACAATGAAGATGTTTGTGTTGTATATTCAGAAGATTAGACATAATCGGATCAAATTAAAGTTCTCACTATCAAACTTGCTGTTAGTATTTCTCGATTGAGATATTTGAATTTTAAGGCATTGTATAGCGCATGTAACATACTACAAATAAAAATTTCAATGACGTGTTTTTTGTCATATTTAGATAGAGTTCGTCGAAAAGTTAGATCTATTTCCCCTTGTATTTGAAAATTACAATATTTTGAACCTGTTTGTAAGATCTGTTTTTTTTTCCAAATTTCAAATATATTTGAATATGATGTAAAAAAATTCTACTGAAATTTTCATTTGTAAGTACATTGCGTACGCTGTAAATATCTTAAAATTTGAATATCTCGATCTAATCAAACCGGTAGCAATCTATATTTTTCAATATAGTACAAATTTTTCTTAGTAATAACTATAATTTTACTCAAATATATCCAAACTTACAACATTAACACATTCAATTATAAATCAAAAAATAGATAATTAACGTTAACTTAACGAAACATTATCTATTTAGATTTTGGCTTAACACGTGACATCTATGAAACGGATTATTATCGACGTGGTGGTCGAAGTTTTCTTCCTATACGATGGATGGCACCAGAAAGTTTAAGAGATGGACGTTTTAATACTGTATCAGATGTTTGGTAAGAATAAAAAAAAAAAAGAAAATTTTTCTTATTCTATTAATTTAAATATTAACAATTCTAGGTCATTTGGTGTTCTTCTATGGGAAATAGCAACATTAGCTGAACAACCTTATCAAGGTTATGGTAATGAAGAAGTTGTACATTATGTTCGATATGGAAATATTACTCTTGAACGTCCATCAAATTGTCCTGAAATATTGTAAATATAAAAACAAAAAAAAAATTTCAATATTTATTTGTTTATTTTTTCTACAAAACAATTTTAGACATAAATTAATGCGTACTTGTTGGACATTTTCACCCGGTGATCGTATATCATTTCGATCGATTGTTGATGAATTAGTTCCATATGAAAATGAAGATTTTCGTATACATGCTTATTATCATACACAACCAAATCTAACACGACAAGTTAGCTTAGTTGATAGTATTAATGATGGTGAAGAAGATCTTTTATTAATGAATAAAATCGATGGTGATGGTGATAATAATGAACATGATGCATAATCAAACAATTTGTTTCTGAAAAATCTATTTCATCTTTGTTTATTTCGAATGAATCTCAAATCATTTTTTTTTAAAACTGTTATTTTATAAATATATATAATATTGTACAAATTATTAAAATATAATTTCACATTTTTTTTTTTTACAGATGATTCTTTAAAATATGATGAACAGAGAAGATTCTAATAAAAGATTTGATCGATATGGATATATTGTACCATCAGGAGAATCTAAGTGAGATGAAAAAAAAAAAAACGAAATTTCGTCTTTTTTTTTTCAATTAATTTGAAGTTTTTATTTTACAGTTTTGAAGAAGAATTAAATGCAACAGTTGTTCGTCGTCGAGAACAAAAATGGCTTGATATGTTTTCACAATGGTCATTATTTATAGCATCACGTTTTGATAAACTTAAAAAACGTTGTCGAAAAGGTATACCTGCATCTGTACGTGGACAAGCATGGTATCATTTATCAGCTGCAATGTATCGACAAGATCATGAAGATCGAAATTGTTCAACAAAAAGTTTATTTTCATATTATTTAACACAAAATCCTGATGCACGTGTTCTTGATGATATAAGAAAAGATTTAGCAAGATCATTTCCTGATCATGAAATGTTTAGAGATGATGCTTGCGGGTAAAATTTTTTATTATTTATACAGATAAAAGAAGAAAACAAAAAATATTTTGCATTTGAATAGACAACAAAGTTTATATGATGTACTTAAAGCATATGCTGTACATGATCCTGATGTTGGTTATTGTCAAGCTCAAGCACCTATTGCAGCTATTTTATTAATGCATTTACCACCTGAACAAGCATTTTGGGTATTTGTTCAAATTAATGAAGAATATGTTAAAGGATATTTTAGTGATGGATTAACAGCAATTAAAGAAGATGCATTAGCAACAGCAATACTTATAAAACGTGTTTCACCAAAGAGTTATCGTTTACTTGTACGTATTTATTTGTTTTATGAGATTTAGAAAATCGACTAAAGACTAGAGTATATCGATTTAATTTCGAATTTGATGAACTCTAATACAGGCAGAAGATTTGTAGTTTTTATAAATCAACGTTTCCTTGTCACTAATGAAACATGATAGAATATCTCTGTTTCTTACTGTTTGATATTTATTGTAATTTTACGTAAAGTCTTGATTGATATTGAATTTTGAAGTACAGATTTTATTTTTGACAAAAACTAAATTGTGAATCATTCTATTTTACTCTCAATATAAATTCATTTCATCATATCATATTTTAAAATTTATGATTTTTGTTTTCTTTTGTCTTATAGCATAAACTTGAGGTTGATCCAATATTATATACAGTTGATTGGTATATGACATTGTTTTCTCGAACATATCGTGCACCACAATTATATCGTTTATGGGATATATTTTTTTGTGAAGGTGTTAAAGTATTATTTCGTTTAGCTCTTGTTATTGTATGTGAAACTCTTGATGTTGGTCCGTCTGATTTAGTAACACGAGCACATCAATGTGATAATGCTATGGATCTTGTTACACTTATAAAACAAACTGCTAAAGAATTACCATTTGATCTATTATTAACTAAAATGGATAAACTTCCATTAAGTGATATTCATCTTGCTCAAGCATGTAAACAAGCAAGACAACAACTTAGTTTAGATACGAAAACAATGCAAAATCGTAAAAAATAATTATTATCTTTATCTAATGAACAGAAAAAGAAATTTTATACGTGAAAGCTATTTTATTTGATGTCTTTGTTGTATATAAGCATTGTTTTTAATTTTTTTTTAAATCAATATAAATTTTTAGGCGATAAAAAAAAACAGAAAAACAAGATAATATGTGATAGAAAAGTCTTCGGAAAAATGTTACATTTTTTTATATCATATTGTCGACTTCTAAATAAATCAAACTTTTTTTTGTTTTTTTTTTTAAAAAGAACAATGTTTCTATTAAAAAATTTTGTATTAGCCATATTTATCCATAAAGAATCTGACGAGGAGAAAAAATTCAAAATCAAATATCTCTAAGAAAGTTTCTGTAACTTTACTATGGAGAGTATGTGGCAAAATTTAGTAGAAGGAGAAGTTATGTATCACATGATCTTTTAGGGATATATCCATTTATTGTCAATTACGAAATGAAAAGAAGAAAAAAGTGGTTGATATCAGTGGAAGTTAAATTTACTCGTTGATTATTATAGAGATCATGACAGATGTTTTTGCAAAAGGAAATATTTTACTTACAAAGTCAGAGATAAATTTAATGAATTATACTAAAGTTGATATCGACAAATTTTAGTGTATTCTTGTTAGAGATGTTTAGGTTTTTGCCTTTTTTTCTCATTAGGTTCTTTCTAGAAAAATAGCTTTCGTACAAATTTGTAGTTAAGACATTGGTCATTTGAACAAAAAGAAAATTCTCTTGTTGTAGAACTTGGTAATATGATATAACAGAATTTGATATTTTTTTGAAAGACTTTCGCATAGCATATTGTAAACTTAGGTAACCGATTTTATAAGAAATATTCTTCATATTTAAATTTAGAAAAAAAAAATGAGACTTACGAGAAAAGTCCTTGAACTGATTAATCACTTTTTTGAGTCGACTTCCACGTGCATTATATAATCCCTAATAATTTTTTATTAGGAAAATTCATTTGTGAATTTCAACCTGAAACATTGTATAAAAACGAATCCTAATGAAAATAGTTTATTAGGAAAATTTCAAATATCTTCACAATAGATAATTCTCTGTGATTCCAATCTTTATGAAAAGTTTCAAGTCGAGATTCAAAAATGAACTTTCCCAATGTTTCTGAGGGAGATCACAGAATAAACTAAAAAAGTACTAATTTAAAAGCCAGCGTATCAAAAGTGTGATGATCGGGATGGTAGTAAGTTGAAGTATAAGAAGAGCATTCATATCCACATTATGAAAAGTAAAATATGACTTGAGAACTTCTTTATTTTCAATTTTATCTATTATAAGCCGACAATCATATCATAGAAAGTTTAAAATAGAGGCCAATATAAGGATGAAATATTACCAAAACTATATCTCTGATATTTGCTTCTCTAGCGACAACACTAAATTGAAATGCAATATCTCAGCAGCAATAAGTAAAGGACTCGAGTTTTTTTTTTCAGGATATTCATAGCTCATTAGAATCTATATAAAACATATAGAGTAGACTCAAAAGTAATTAATCAGCTTTAAGACTTTCCTCATCAACTGTAATCAGAGAATAAATGTTGTGACAGTAACTTTCCTGTTCTTGTCATTCAATATGAGTAATTGCTGACTGTCAATCAGATTAGTTTGTTGAAACTCAAAATAATATGTTATGCTCTATATCAATAATCATATATAGTTGGATATAAATAAAAAAAATAATGATTCCTCAATGGAGATTATCTAGACGATGACAGTATAAGACATTGTCACAATAATTGAAACATTTATCGTGGCGTCTTGAAAACGTTTTTGTTTGAACAACTTTTTCTTTGAGATCCTGACAGACACTGTAATTCATAATTGTATATCATTAACAGATTGACTTATAGATACCATTAGAATGGAAAACATCTGTATAAGATCGTAAAAGCACTGTCACATTCGATTCATAACTCTCTAGAAGTTTTAAAAAATAGAATGTACTTTCTTGTTCTTAATCAATATTCTAAAGGTTATTCTACAAGCGACGAAAAACTTTCACTGTCTCGAGTACATGTTTCAATTAGATATATCAAGGTTGAACGAGCCTAATTATTTTTGTCATGTTTTTTAGTTTTCTGTTTATTTTCATAAAGAACGTTAGCAACAAGTATTCCGCGACATGACATCCTGTTCCTAGTTTTAATTGATAGAAAAAAAGAAAATAAGGATAGTAAAATCAACTCTTGTCATGCATAGAGTTCAATAAAAACAAGGAAAAAAACATTAATTATTTTTTCAATAAAAGCATAAATCTAAAGTTGTTTATAAGAAAAAAGAAAATTTGATAACATTAAAATCAATATTTTTATTGTATTTCAAACATACTAAAATACAAATATTAGTTTGTGAAAATATTAAACAATACGATCTTATTAAAAGATCACTTAGAAAATAAAACATACGTTCAACAAGTTGAAACACATATGAATTTTCTCAATACACAAAATTATAAATTTCTTTTGATGTTGAATTATCAACTTTTAGTTTTTGGAATGAATAATTTCAGTCCTGATTGGATACATACGAGTATAGTAATCTTGTTCTTATTTTAATATTGACTTTCATCGACCCATTTTTATCAAAATGAATAAAGAGGATTATGATTATTTACACGCACACGCACATATATTTATATAGATTAAATTTTTTTCGGTTTTACTGATAATGGAAAACTGTTTAATCTCAATGGAATTTTAACATTCAAATAAGATGATGATGAATTATCTCGTCTTATTAGTCTTGGTGATCGACATTTTAACGAAGAACTTGTTCGTGCTGACGCAATAATTATTGTTGGTATATGTTTTTGTCTACGATTAAATGTCACATAAATAAATGGATTAAGACCACTTTGTGCTAAACATATTGTTTGTAAAACTCCATCAAGCCATGATGGTATACGTAAATAACCATCTGTATAGATTTCAATTAAAGTTAAAACTATATAAGGTGTCCAACAGACGACAAATACAATAATAATAGTTAAAGCTAATTTAGCTGTTTTAAATTTTGCTGGTGATGTTCCAGGTGATGTAAGATATGTTGTTGTTTGACCATGAATTTTTTGCATCCAAATTTTAGTTGAAGATGCAACAATACACACTATTTTTATATACCATATTGTCATACAAAAAGCTGGTATAACAAGTAGATAACAAGCAAATATTGTAAAATAAACTCGACGTTGCCATTCAGCTGTATATCCAGTACTACTACAACGATATTTTGTTAAACTTCCTGTTATTAAACTTTGTTTAAATATAAATAATTGTGGTATAGCTGCTATTAATGAACTTAACCAACATAGAATAATAACACGACGTACACGACGAAGTGCTGTACATGATCGAAATGGACAACAGATTGCTTCATATCTTAATTAAAAACAAAAAAAAGAAAAACTTCAATAGTTATTATCAGTTCCTAATAAAAACAATATATATTATTTTTATATTCGATAATGAATTTGTTTTTTTTTTGCAAAGATAATCATATGATTATACTATAGAACAATGAAAATAATTCTATAATATATTGCTAGGAGAAAAAAATTTAACACATTCAGGTCTCTAGTTTTACTATTAAACATCAAGTTGACTATCATATAAACATACATAAGTAGTTTCATTGAAAATCAAAACATAAGAATTATTGCTTTTGGTAAATGATATGATAAGCATTTCAGATAGTTCTTATGAAATAAGTAATAGAAAAATGTCATTGATTAATTGAATCATTATAAAGAACTTGATGATCCAATGAAAAGATATTCCTATGATTTATGATAAGTAATTTTTTAACTATTAATCTATGGATAATTGGAGTAGTGCTTCTTCTATGAATCATGAAAAAATATTATCTAAAAGTTTGATTTAATAGACAATGACATTAGATAAAAGCATCAGAGATTAAGGCATAACTTAAGAATGTCAATATGTACTACTATATCGTTGAAAACAAAAATTGTCTCAGATCTTTTTGACCTTATAATTTTTTTTTTATTCAAAGCAATGATTCATATATTTCTATACATTTAAATCTAATTGAGAAAGTTTGTTGAATAGAGAATATAATGATTTTACATTTTGACTTTGATTCTTATGTATTATTTGATTATATCTGATAAAAATTATTTCATAACATTCTTTCTCAATAAGTACTAATATGTTTATTAGAAACCTTAAAAATAGGAATACATTATACAATTGTTTCCAACAAAATAACTTAATAAATTCTGCCACTTACCGATCATATGTCATTGCAACATTAATAAATGTTGTTGAAGCAAGTGTAACAACTTGAATATAAAGTGTTAATTTACAAGCAACATTTCCTAAAATCCATTCTTGATCAAAAATTATAAGAAATAATTCTGATGTCATTGTACATAAACATATTGTTAAATCTCCAATAGCTAAATTGAGTATAAATAAATGTAAACGTGTACGATGTCGACGACGTCGACAAAATAATTCAAATATAATATAACTATTACCAATTAAAGTTACACACATAATAATCGTTAATATAAATATACGTATTAGTTTATTTGTTGGCCATTGACGATAAGATATAGTTGAATTTAATGAAAAATTATTCATGATAAACTAAAACAACAAACAGCAAATAGAGAAATAAATGAGTATTTGTAAAAATCTTCTTGTTGAAGAGAAAGAGAGAGAAAAAAAAATGAAGAAGCAACTTCATATTTATGTCATTTTCTTTTATTTATTACGTGCATGACCATTAATAATTTCCGGTACTTTTTTAAAAAGTATATTTGACGTTTTCTTTTTTTTTTTTTTATAGTTCTATAGGTGATTATATTGATGCTACTAAGAATATTAGTATTACATTGTCATCTTGTCATTTATAAATACGAGAAAAAAAAATCAATTTGTCATTTTAATGTAAATTACATTTTTCGTCATGTGAAATATAACAAAAGAGTTTCCATTCTAATCTAAAA